TAGGGAAATATATATATAAAAAAATATTTATGAGAATTAGTTACTCATGTCCATAAACCCTCTCTCAAGATAGTGATCATGTCTATGACTGCTAAGGCCTGAATTTATTGAATAATACTCTCTAGTTTATGAAATTTTAAGCCTAGTTTATTGAATAACATGTTCCATCCAATTCTTTTTCTTTCATGATTTTCCCGCACTAGAGGAAATATGGTGATAAAGAATCAAGAGGGAGGAGAGATGAGCCTAAAGGAATGTATTGCTTAGTAACATAATATTAAACAGAGTTAAAATATTCTTTCACATGTACGTACGATTTGAGTGTCATGATGATTACAATACATGTTTGATTGGGTTCTTTTTAATTATATGGTTAATTAAAATAGATCGACGAGTGGATTGGTTTGAAATTGTATTTTTATTGAAGCATAATGACTCCAATAACTCAGATGCACGTGAGAACTGGACCTAACTTACACTACACATGCATGCAAAACCCGAAAACACAAGAACATGTATATGTCATATATAGGAGAAAAAAGTTGCAAGTATTAGTTGTTCCATCCGTTTCTTACTGTGAAGTCATTTCTGTTAGTTTTGTTTGTTATACATTGGCAATTAGCTTGTAGAGTGCTGACAAGATTCAGGATCCGTGCCATTATTGCGTTCTCTAAATTATTAAGTTCATTGGCAAGTAAAGACACTGTGGCTTTGCTGGAAGAAGCTCTCCTCAGCTAAGGAATTGCTCTAACTTGGGTAGATTTGTAACATCTCATATATATTTACTTAATGCTATTTGATTTCATAAATTTTGTCACAATTTTTAAATTTTCAAACATTCTGTTATTTCATTAATTAAACGTTTAACTAATATAATATGTTGATAATTAATATATATGAATGATTAACTTATTAACTAATAAAGACAAATGACCAATTAATGAAAGATAAAATGTGCGAAAGTTTAAAATTAAATGATAAAATATTTAATTTGTTGAATGACAAAATTCATGAAATTGTGAAACATAAATGAAAAAAGGTGCAATTAATTTTTTTTTAAATAGATTCTCTTATATTTGGATTAGTTTATTTTTAGCCCAATTTATTGCTACGATGGAGGCTTTGGTTTGGTGAAGGTTCTGCTTTTATTTTATTTTTTTCTCTCTCTACTTTTAAGAAACTTATAGTAAGTAATACTTATGACGGATGCTAACATGAAATAGTAAAAAATGTATGTTATGGATGAGACAGTAAAATAACCGGAAATAAGAGGTTTTTAACTGGAAAAATATTTATAAAAAATCACAAAAATATTTGAGAGTCACAACAATGTTGCATGTGTGGCCGACCATTGCTTGTGCAACCACGGTGATGTTGCAGGTGCAATCATGGTGACAATGTTACTTGTGCAACCACAGTGACACTGCTAGTACAATCGTGCAGCCATTGTGACGTTGTAGATGCAATTGTAGTGGTGACACTGCGAGTGCAACCATGGTGACCGCTGCGCGTGCAGCCTCAGTGACATCACTACATGTGGTGGTTTGACGGGGATGAGTTGTGAAAAAAAAATTACTTTACTAGTTATGTGAGTTGCTTTCCTTCAATCTCGTACGTTGATTTTTTTTATTAATATATCAAATGGCTAAAATTAATAATTCATCCATGAAACATATTTTTTACTACTTCATGTTAGAATTCGTGAATACTTAAAAGCAATAATGTTTATAAGTGTTGATCACCATAATTACACACTATTATAGGGTTATGACCTTATCATTTGTTTTTCCTCTTCCAGATTCAAAATAGATCTTTGTCCAATAAAGTTACAACTTCTGTGCTTATTTGTATTCCACATATATATATATTTGCTAGATGTCCATTCAAATACTGATGCATGTTGTACTTGTTTACTACACTTCAAATTTATCTCGTTGCATCTACTGCCCCGTTCTTAACTTCATTGTAAAAAACAAACTTGATATC